GATAGTTATAGACAGACAGACAGACAGACAGACAGACAGACAGACAGACAGACAGACAGGACGGACGGACGGACGGACGGACGGACGGACGGACGGACGGACGGACGGACGGACGGACGGACGGAACGGACGGACGGACGGACGGACGGACGGACGGACGACGGACAGACAGACAGACAGACAGACAGACAGACAGACAGACAGACAGACAGACAGGACAGACAGACAGACAGACAGACAGACAGACAGACAGACAGACAGACAGACAGACAGACAGACAGACAGACAGATAGATAGATAGATAGATAGATAGATAGATAGATAGATAGATAGATAGATAGATAGATAGATAGATAGATAGATAGATAGATAGATAGATAGATAGATAGATAGATAGATAGATAGATAGATAGATAGATAGATAGATAGATAGATAGATAGATAGATAGATAGATAGATAGATAGATAGATAGATAGATAGATAGATAGATAGATAGATAGAGAAAGAGAGAAAAATAATATGTCATTAAAACATTATTAAATAATCATTAGCTTCCACAATGATACTATTGAGCTAAATTATTCCATATGTTCGCCTTGGCAATCAGACTACATTTAATAATGTGTAGCAGAACAAAGTGTAGTCTAGAAATGTGCAGCGGGTGGTTAACGGTGCAGAGGTTGTAGTTCAATGCTACTCAACCTTTTTACACCAAAGACCAACCAAAACAGGGGAAGTTCTTTCACGGCCAACCCAAACTATTTCAGGTAGCAATTTATTTGTTTTCAAAATTGCCATTTTCAGCTAATACGACATCTACTGCTGCTTGGAGGTTAGCAAATGTGATAAATGTGACCAGAGGAGCATTGTTTCTAAAAGAGAAATGCTGCAATAACGTCTAATCGATTTCTTTTTCTGTTTCATATTACTGACAAGAAGTAGCCGTAGTGTAGAGGTCTTGGGATCAGTCCTGAAGAAGCCGGAATTCCCCCCCCCCCCTCTTCTCCCATAAATGACCTTGGCTCCCAGGTCGACCCAGCCTTAAATGTGTACCGGGTAAAGTCATGGGAAGTAAAGACAGTGGACGTGATGTTTACCACATCATTCACCGAATGACGATAGTTCTTCGAAAACTGCGATTCTAGCAGCATATGACCGATATAGTTCAATATTTAATTAAGATTCGACATTACACAATTCGGGACAATCATCTAAACGCTCCAACCCGTCTTCAGCAGCTAACGCAGTGTTTCTCATTTACATAGTACCAGTAACAGAACAGTCTGATTGTATACCCAGTGTGTAAGAAGAGAAGAATTTGCCTGTCATGTGTTGGAGATAACGGATATCTGAATCCAGGCCCTGATGAATTAGGAAACCGGACATTAAATTCCGAGCTTCTGGAATAGGTAGTGATCAAATAAACCTATCTACCGGTGTTTAACGCATATTTCCTAACCTCTTAGATATCCTCTCTGAACTGCATCAATAATCTCTACATGTTTGTTTTGATTTGTCAGTGAAAGCTGCTGTGAAGTTTCGTGGTAGGTCTGCAGGAAACGGCTGTATGTAAATAATGGCGGAGCTGTTGAAATAACGCGCCCAGTTAGCGATGAAGTGGTATTTTGAGAGTGGCTCCAGCTGTGGGGAGTCGAGATGAGAGACTTCGCTGAGTATGCTGTCTACAGCAGGATTTTTGCTGATGAATTGCATGTAATTAATGGCCCAGAGTCGGAAAATTATAAGTGAGAACAAGCTACATATTACAAAAGTAATGTGGTTGTGAAGAGTTTTATGAACAACGTTGTGCTTGGATTCATCAGGGTAATGAGCTAGTTGATCATTAGGAGATTTTTGTGGCACAGCGGTTTGTATGCTCGCTTGGTAGCACTGTAGTTCCGGAGATTCTTCGTTTTTCTATCGTCATCGTTGTCCTTCTCGTCCTATGATCACAACCACCAGCACCAACATCATCATTAATATATCCTCATCATCATCACAATCATCATCATAATTATCATCATCATTATTTATCTTTTCTTCTTCTCTTCTTCTTCTCCTGCTCCTGCTCCTTCTTCTTCTTCTTCTTCTTCTTCTTCTTCTTCTTCTTCTTCTTCTTCTTCTTCTTCTTCTTCTTCTTCTTCTTCTTCTTCTTCTTCTTCTTCTTCTTCTTCTACGTCTTCTTCTTCTTTTTCTTCTTCTTCTTTTTCCTCCTCCTCCTCCTCTTCTTCTTCTTCTTCTTCTTCTTCTTCTTCTTCTTCTTTTTTTTATTTTTATTTTTCTTCTTCTTCTTTTTTTTGTTTTTACTTTTTCTTTTTCTTCTTTTTCTTCTTCTTCTTCTTCTTCTTCTTCTTCTTCTTCTTCTTCTTCTTCTTCTTCTTCTTCTTCTTCTTCTTCTTCTTCTTCTTCTTCTTCTTCTTTTTTTAACTTTTTCTTTTACTTTTCCTTTGTCATCTTCTTCTGGCTCCGCCTCCTCTGCTTATTCTTTCTTGAGAAATTATCTAGCGAATCTATGAAATCTCGAAAGCTATATTCTGTAAGTGTATATGATCAAACAAAATGAAGCAGAACCACCACAATGTGAACAAACATCTGGAAACGCATATCAAAGACACTCGACCCGTAGTAACATAGTTTTCGTACTGACGAGAACGTCTCATTACTATACAACTATTAAACAAGCTGCATAGTTAACTGTAATATTGATGGCAACACTGACTATGCAAAACTTCAGGGTATTAAACTGATCTCTTCTCTTTATTGTTCTGATGGAAAGTGTAGACTATGAAAGAGTTTGAAAGGGAATCTGTTTTTGAGAGGCACAGAAAATCATTACCTTGTGAACCTTTTAAAAAGCCGTTGAGATCAGAAAGGGGATGGGGTGGGCGGGGGTTATAATATCTTATAGTTTTGAAACTGATGAGACACTCTGTGATCTCTTACTAAGTGAAACATATAAAGACATGACAAACGCTTAAAAGTAGTTTGTGATAATTATACAACAGAAAGTTTCTTTGTCAACACAGGAGTCAGACAGGGATGTATACTATCCCACTTTTTGTTCAATTTGGCCACTGACTGGCTGATGAAGGAAGTTACACGAGATAGTAAATAAGGATTTAGACTATGCAGACGACATCAGCCTTATATCCAGCCGTCATGTGAACGCTCAGGAAAAGATTGAAAGACTTTCAACAACAGCCCATTAGGACTAAAAAAACCCAGTAAAACTAAAGTAATGAGAAATAATTTCAAAACAGAAAATCCAATTATCTTAAATGATGAAGCAATAGAGGAAGTTGAAAAATGTATATACCTCGGAAGTAAAGTTACTCCAGATGGAGATTCTGAAAATGATGTAACATCAATAGTAAACAAAGCAAATCAAGCATTTGGTATGGGAAGTCAAAGCGATTTAGTTTGAAGACAAAACTCAGAATATACAAGAGCAACATTTTAGGAATACTGTTATACATCAGTAAAGAAAATGAAAGCAGGAATTACACATAAACTTGAGACTTTTCAAAATAAAAGTTTAAGGAGAATTCTACGAATATTTTGGCCAAACAAGATCACAAATAAAGAACTGAGGAGGAAAACAAAATGTGCATCACTGGTAAATGTTATCAAAGTAAGAGGATGGAAATGGCTTGGACATGTTTGTAGAATGCCTTGTGACACTGGCAAAAACAGCTCTCCGGTGGACAGCAGATGGGAAAACGAGATGTGGACGACGTAAGGAAACCCAGAGAAGGACTATAGAACAGAAAATAAAGGAATGTGAACTGACATGGGATACGATGGACAGAAAAGCAGCAAACCGGCAGCAATAGAGATCACTTGTGAATGCCTTATGTGTCAACAGCAACATGAAGAAGATATAGAATATAGATAGAAACGCTTCATGTAAGAATACTAACCGATTTGTTTGAATAAAAAGGGTAAGTGCGAAAGGGATACACTTCGGCCCCTTTATTATTCTTTGTGACAATAAAATGGAATATAAAGATAACACTAAGTACACGTAAAATTCACGATCTGAACAGGACTAAAGTCCACAAATGGATTAACAGCAAGAACGTTCTGCCGGAGTTTTACAGAGGAAGACTACTAGCAGGACTGGAGTTCAATGGACTCTGACAGGGGGTTCCATTTTAGGAACTTCACTGAGGACGTGGCTTCCGCACCCCCTTTTACTCCCCCCCACCCCACCCACCCACCCCACTGATTCCACAGGCACTAAATCTTCTTCTTAGTCCTCACCAGCTGTAAACTGGCGGAAAGTTTTGGTTGTTTGACCACTTCGCGTGTTCAAGAACTTCAGTTTTTCCTGCACTTCTATGTGACTTGTATGCAGACTGTTGGTTCCTCGCCTGTCAGGCAGATGCATTTCGATTTCAAAGGGGAAAACCCCCTAATCCGTCGCTCTTTAATGACATCCTTGTTAGGAGACAGTGGGTCTATTCTTTATGTCCCCAAACAGGGGCCCCAGAACCCATACGGGGAACGCACTAAAGGACTTGAAATGTCTTTGAGAAAAGTCAAACGTCTTTACATTAACTGGAGATATAGGCATCCTAAGGCTACCTCCGCCCCCCCCCCTCCAACCAGTGTTTCTAGAAATGAGGGGGCGAAAGGCCTGATCCTCCTTCTCATACATTTTAAAGAAGGCTCAGCGCCACCCCTCCCCCCCCCCCCTTCATGTTTTCCCTTTTCTCCACATCGTATACAGAAGTTCTCTTCTCAAGATTTTTTCTGGATAAATACGTGTGTAAATATTTGACATTGAACATATTATTATTACTATTATTATTATTATTATTATTATTATTATTATTGTTATCAATTGAGCTTTTGAACAAAGCCTAAAGAGGGGCCCCAGAGTGATTTTTTAAAATGCGCCAATATTTTCTTCGTGTGGACCCCCCCCCCCCCCCCGATGCCTAATAAATTCAATCTCTTTGAGTTTTCCCGAATGGACAATAACCAGGACTCTTACCTTCAACAGTGAGCATGATGTTCTGCCGTATATTTCGTCTCCTGGCTGACACTTGGCACTCATACATCCCGCTGTCATTAGGTTGTACGTTCTGGATATGCAAGTTCCACTCCAGTGAATGCTTTCTATGGACCACTTTAAACCTACGGTCGTTGACATAAGTGTCTTCGCCAATGGTCAATGGGTTGGGATCTGAAGCCCTTCTCCACACGATCTGAAGGAAGAGGAGATTATAAGCAGTTATTTCATTATTGTCATTAAATTATATTGCGTGAACAATCTATGTCTGTCTCTCTCTGCCCCACCCTCGCCCCTATCTCTCATCCGTGTCCATTTAGTGTGTGAAATCTCTCACTGTTTCCAGTAGCAGATACTGTCGTTGGGTTGGGTTGTGTTGGGACCTATATTTATTTCAGCTGTTATTACGGTAACTTTTGTTCAGGTCCGGCTGTATAAATAGAGAAGGCCGTGCTTTTGTTTAACTGGTCAAAACGCTGTCACGATTTTTCCCTATTTCCTGATGAGCTAAGCTATGGAGCTCAAATTCTGCAAGCAAGCGAGCGCCCACACACATACACACACAAGCTCTCTTTCTCTCTCTCTCTCTCTCTCTCTTCTCTCTCTCTCTCTGTTGTTGAACCCCACCTAGACATCACACAAGCAATAAACACCTGATGACACAAAGTGCCACCATGCGGGTCAGGTTCACCCGTAGAGAGGTACCAGAAACCCTTGTCAGCCTTTAGGCCATATTTATGGCCCGGCTAAATTTAGCGCCTGAGGCAAAAGCCAGGGTCGGGCTTCAAATAACAGAATATTGCATCCCACACAGGGATAACTTACAAAAAGATTAGAGGAGTCGCAAAAATATTCAGATAAGCGTTTAATTTTTAACTGATAATTTCTGTTTTCAAAGATACTATATGTTTAAATAGGAAATATATTTTCAAGGGAAATAATCCATCAATTCACGAAAACATAAATTGATTGGGTTTAAAATATGTAAAAATGTGTTTTTAACTACGCTATTATTTTATTTTACTATTTGAAACACACACACACACACACACACACACACACACACACACACACTATTAAACGATATTATTTAAAACAAAACAAAACAAAACAAAACACACACATACACACTATCAAACGATACCATAAATTATGAGTATCCTTTTGTGCGTTAATACTAATAGCTGTTATTCAGTTTCGTCCTTTTTAGGACGAAATTTTTTGTTATTTGAAGCCCCACCCTGGCTTTTGCCAGGGGCCGCAATATAGGCAGGCCATAAATATGGCCAAATGTCTGAACGCGGTTTCTGGGACCTCTCCACGGCGATCCTCATCCATATGGTGGCACTTTGTGTCATCGGGTGTTTATCGCTTGTGTGATGTCCTGGTGGGGTAGAAAGTCAGTCAGTCAGTTGTGCGTTAATATATGCATGCATTAAAAGAAAAGATGACTTGATAATATATTTAAGAAATGTTACGTCGCAATATATAAAATTTTAAGAAATTTCTGAAAATTACAATAATTATAATTGACCTAGGCGGTTCCACATATAATTAAAATTGCTATATAGAAGTGTCACGTGAAGTAATGGCGGCTCTCGTCATGGCGTCTTGTTATTTATCGAGTGCCGGCGTTCTATAACACAAATGTTAGTGAACATCACATGTTGGATAGGCAGGCCACTGACGTGTGAAGCTAGTTTACTTTTCACTTTATGTTGTCAGTGGTGCATATAATGATTAGACAGATACGTTATGATTACACCGTTATACATATAATAAACCCCAAATAGTCAAGAATATACAGTGAAAACATACACTTTATGATATCTTCTTATTTGCGTTCGTCCGAGTGATGTAACTGCGTTGCGCCTATTTACACCAAAGCTGCAAAATGTACGCCTTTCGGCCAACACCTCCGACTATATCGGGCACTTATCCACCGGGTTAGCTTTGCTAGTAACGTTGTGATATGATAAACTTTGTGATTTGATAACCAGGGCTTGTTTTATTTTTGTTCCTACGAAAAACAGGCTGCTGGTACTCACCACAAAGAGTCTTAACTCTTTGAGTCCCAGAGGGTTTAGAATCCCAGGCCCAAGGGGTAATAAAGGGAGACGTAGATTCTGCGCATCTTGCGTTTACTGGGCTTCTAGGTAGAAACCTATGAACGTATGATGCGCTCCTTGGGACTCAAAGAGTTAAAAAATCACAAAGTAACGCTGAAAAAAAGAAGAAGAATCCTGAAAAAGATGTCGGTATTAAATACCGCTGAGAACTGCCGGGAAAAAACGAAGCTATGATAGTAACAATATTATTAAAGCCGCAAATTACCAAACTATACTAATGCAAACAGCAATGGAACGAACGAACAAACGAACGAACTTTGTTTTTGAAGGGTCACACATTTGGCACGCAGGCCCTTCTTACATTCGGCCCTTCCAACCACCTATCTTTCACACAGCAGTTATATTTTATCAATAAAGCATGTTATGTTCATTTAATAATATGCATATTATCAAAATCAAAAAAAAAAAAAAAAAAAAAAAAAAAAACCGAAAAACAAATGCGCGCTCACACACACCAATATGTACACGCCCACTTACTCACCTACAAACATACATATATATACAAACACACCCGAATACATAAATACCTAGTACACACATACATATACAGCAAAGAGGGATATAGAATAAGCCTAACATATGACAGGATCACAACTGAGGATAGGTGCAGTCGATGCGCCAACAGTGGAGAGAAAGCACATATAGTAAACATGTTAATAGAAGCAGTAGAAACGCTTCTTTTTTCGTGTGGGTTTCAGTGTTCTTTTAGGGGACGACGGGGAGGGGGGGGGGGGGGAGGGGGGGGGGGGAGAATAGTTACTCTTTCTCTTAACAAGCATGGCGTTAAAGGCAACCTTATTAGCGTTTGCTCAAATTGGATGGAAAGAAACGAAAGAGCGCAGATATTGTAGCCAAACTGCAAGACACAACATTACGTTTCCACAGTCATTATATAATAATAGCAATAATAATATAATAATAATAATAATAATAATAATAATAATAATAATAATAATAATAATAAAAATAATCATAATAATAGTAAGACAATTTTTTTATAGAAATCACAAGGCAAAGGAAAAGAGAATTAAAGACAAATGAATAACATGGGGGAACATCTAAAAGGAGCTGAAGGATTTAACAATGGCCTAGGAAGTGCCAGTTTGACCACGGCCTATTCTCTACTGAGAATGTTGAATTACGAATCGACATCGCAGCACTTGGGACACTCTCATAAGCGCTCCGTCTCCATCATTTCCAATTGAAATAATATTTTCTATGGAATTTCTCTATTGGGAAAACAGAGAAAGTAATGGGAAGAAGCACATTATTTACTAGATAACTTGCGTCAGTCGTCATGAGTTAAAGAAGATTTAGCAGACTGAAACAAATGAAAAGAAAGAGAGGGTAAATAATAATAATAATAATAATAATAATAAAAAGAAGAAGAAGAAAAGGAAGAAGAAGAAAAAGAAAAGAAGGAGGAGAAGAAGAAGAAGAAGAAAAAGAAAAAAAAAAAAGAAGAAAGACGAAGAAGAAGATAAAGACGGAGACGAAGAAGGAGAAGGAAGAGGAAGAAGTTGAAAAAAAAAAAAAAAAAGCCTGTTGTGAAACAGATTTCAAAGCTCAAAATCAACCCTCAGGTCATGTTGAGCGACATGTCGGTTACCAATCTGCACTACATTTTATTCTTTGAAAGTTAACAAATATCCTCCTTTGATGCTGTATGTAGCGAACGCTCCCTTGTAATCTCACTGACATATCTGTTTACATGCTAAAATAGCCTGCTGCTATTTCTAACAACCAGTGGAAACATGATAAAACTGATCTCCCTCTCTACCTGTTACCAGCTACTGTGGACTGATACTTTCGTGAACTAGTGATGTAGCAAGGTAGTCAGGTAATCGCGGTTCCAACTTTATAGAAAACAGGTTACCCCATAGCTGCTCCTTTCCTGTGCTAAGAAAACCACATAGAATGTCCATCACTGTTCCGTGTGAAAACATTGACACAGACTGCAGACTTAGCAAATACAAAAGCACACAAATTGCATTAAATGCATAAGGCAGTTGTCAGAAAAGTCAGCACAAACAGTCCTGACACTAGAAACGCAGTGCATCATCGATGCAAGCAGCAGTTACAACAGATCAGTAACTGCACACCCGGATAATCGCATAAGGTACCACTAGTTCTTTGTCAACACGACACTCACCATTTTCTAAATCTACATCTCACAACACAGGCAACCTGGTCACAGTTGAGAAACATTCCAAATGAAATCCACAGAACACAGTGTTGCGCCACGCACTGGTGTAGCAATTTACATTGTGTCTTCTATAGGGGGAGTGGTATAGATCTTTTGTATCCCCAATGTCTTTTTTTTTATATGGATGTGAGAGCTAGACTCCCACTGTGAAAATGGAAAGGAGAATTAGAATTCAGGCTTTCGAATGTAAATGCCACAGACGCATTTTACAAATTAGTTATTTAGAACACAAAATTAATAAATACATCAGAGACAAAATATACAAATTTACGGGACATCAGGAGCCTCTCTTGGCAGTGGTGAAACGTCGCAAGCTAGCTTGGTTTCGGCACGTGGTGAGACATGATTCGATTGCAAAGACTGTGTTTCAAGGAACACTAGGTGGTAGTCGAAGAAAAGGAGGGCAAAGAAGAACCTCGAATGATGACATCAAGAAATAAACAGGACTTAGTTATACACTTATTCCTCAAGCGAAAGACAGAGAAAGATGGCGGGTTTTATGTGGTAATGCTCCTATCAATACACCTACACGACCCTAATGGGCCTAGGGTTGTGTTACGTATGTATGATATGTTGGAATCCCCGCTACTAGCTGCAAACGTACTGGCTTCATATTCTGTTGACACTACGCCTACGTGCATTTCCAGAGCTGTTATTTGTTGCTCCACAATTTGCCAACGGCACACATGTGAATTCCTTTGTTACTCTACAATTTTCCAACGGCACACATGTGAATTCCTTCTCCACGTGTGTCAAAATGAATAAAACAAAATCTCGTTATCACTAATTGGCTTAAGAAGAACATTCTATTATCATGAACACAACTTTAGTCCCAGGAGGGACGTATAATTCTCCGGTCTG